TGGGGCTCGCACCGTGTTTTTTTACCAGGGGAAGTCTCGAGGGTCAAACTGTATCGTCCCCAGGTGACGTCAACAACGGCTTCCGCCTGATACTTCCTCACAATTTATTGAATAATCGCGCTCTCGCTTGTGACGTCCTTGCAATTTACCGTCGGATCGCGGCTCCCGCTTGATACGTCCTAACAGTTTATTGTCGGACGTCTTCGGAACTTACCACCGAATCGCGGCTCCCGCATGATACCTCCTCACAATGTATCCAGATGCCGCCCCTCGACAGTCAGGGATCGCGCTCCCGCTACATATTGCCTGGCGGTTCAAGCAGAATTTACGCTTCAACGGCCAGCCCGCTCGACCCGCCCGTGTGGGCCTGCCCGCCCGACCAGGCCGTTAGGGACTGCAGTCGCCGCTCGCTGCCCTTCGCCCGCCTTCGATGCCCCTCGCTGCCCGTGCTGGTTCCGCGGTCGCCTTCGCTCGCTGCCCTTCGTGGCCCCGTTGCTGCCCTCAGTGGACCCACTGTGGCCCCGCATTCTCTGCCCTTCGTGGCCCCCGCTCGTTCGCGCCCGTCGTGGCCCCATACGCATGCCCTTCATAGCCCCGCTGTCGCCCTTCGTGTCCCTCTCGCTGCCCTTCGTGGCCCCTTTGCTGCCCTCAGTGGCCCCGCAGTCGCCCTTGGTGGCACCATATACGCATGCCCTTCGTGGCCCCCGCTCGTTCGCGCCCGTCGTGGCCCCATAAGCATGCCCTCCTTCGTGGCCCCGCTGTCGTCCGCCCTCAGCAGCCCCGTCGCTGCCCCCTGTGGCCCGGATTAATTGCCCTTCGTGGCCCCCGCTCGCTCGCGCCCTTCGTGGTCTCATACACATGCGTTTCGTCGCCCCGCTGTCGCCATTCGTGGCCCCCTCGCTGCCCTTAGTGGCCCACTTTCTGCGCTCAGTGGACCGCTGTCGCCCTTTCTGGCCCCATGTATGTCTGCCCTTCGGGGCTCCCGCTCGTTCGCGCCCGCCGTGGCCCCCCATATGCATGCCCTTCGTGGCCCCGCTGTCGCTCTTCGTGGCCCCCTCGCTGCCCTTCGTGGCCCCGTTTCTGCCCTCAGCGGCTCCGTCGCTGCCCTTTGCGGCCCCCTCTGCGTATGCCCTTCGCGGCCCCCGCTCGTTCGCGCCCGTCGTGGCCCGCGCCAACAACGGCTCCCGCCTGATACGCCCTCACAATTTGTTGAAGAATCGCGCTCTCGCTTGGGACTTCCTTGCAATTTACTACCAAATCGCGGCTCCCGCCTGATATTTCTTCACAGTTTATTGGAGAATCGCGCTCTCACTTTGGACTTCCTCGCACGAGTACCGATGCCCTTCGTAGCCCCGCTGTCGCCATTCGTGGCCCTCTCGCTGCCCTTCGTGGCCCCTTTGCTGCCCTCAGTGGCCCCGCAATCGTCCTTGGTGGCCCCATATACGAATTGTTACACGACGTTTATTTCTGACACCAGTTCGCAGCTGTACGTCCCCCCGTGGGGGTATCCACGATCTGTTCTTTCAAGGGGGTGGTACGTGGCGCTGTTTATGGCGCGACCCATGGCGAAACTTATTGTTAACCTGTGTTGGAGTGGCTGGCGCAAGCCAGGGCGCAAGCCGAATCGCCACGCACAACGCAAATCATCGTCCTCCCTCCTTCTTGCCCCTCCCCTCCCTTCCTCCGATCCCTTCGTCCTCACATCCCCCCCGTTATCTGTTACCCTTTGTTCTTTTCAAGGGCGTTGCCAACCACGCGTGGCAGGGAATGCATACACCCCCCCAAAAGGGGTTCCATGGAAGACAAAAGAGGGCGGGTATCCAGGGTTGGGGATTTGCATTTTTGAAGGACACGCGAGCAGGTAAGAGCGAACAGTCTTAAACTGAGTGTTGTGGTTGTTGTTGTTGTTGTTGTTGTTGTTGTTGTTGTTGTCGTTGTGGTTGTGGTTGTTGCTGTTGTTAATGATGTAGTTGTTGTTGTTGTTGTTGTGATTGTTGTTGTAAGTCGTATGAATGTTGCTGCCCTTTTTGTTCTTGTTATTGCTGTTGTTGCTGTTGCTGTTGTTGCTGTTGCTGTTGTTGCTTGTTGTTGTTGATGTTGTTGTGGCTGTTGGTTTTGTTTGTGTCTTTGTTGTTGTTGTTGCTGTTGCTGCTGCTGTTGTTGTTGTCGTGGTTGTTGTTGTTGTTGTTGTTGTTGTTGTTGGTGCTTGTGGTTGTGTGTGTGTGTTTGTGTGTGTGTGTGTGTGTTTGCTGTTTTATTCTTCTGTGTGTGTCTCTCTCTCTCTCTCCCCTCTTTGTGTGTGTGTGTCTCTCTCTCCCTTTTTATCTCTCTCTCTCTCTCTTTTTTTTTTTTTTGTTTTCTCTCTCTCTCTCTCTCTCTCTCTCTCTCTAGTTACACATGATGATGCTGCTGATGATGACGACGGTGATGATGATGAGTATCAGAAGCCAATCTTTGTCATCGATGAATTCCGTGGTGCGCCTCTGTGGTATTCAACGAAAATGCTCCGAATCGGGCTCGCACCCTGTTTTTTACCAGGGAACCTCACGCGGCCCCGATTGGGCCCCTGGCCCCCAAACTACCACACCAGTGGGTCCCGCTTGTTTTTGTTTCAGTTTATTTCAACATCGCGGTCTGACGCACGACGTCCGCACACTTCACGCAGAAATCTGGCTCTCGCGTGGATTTTTTCCGCAATTTCTTGCAGCGCCGTGCCCTCGACTCTCAGGAAGCACGCTTGCGTTTGGGATTTTGTAATGGTTTACGTGCGAAGCATTCTATTGCTCGAGATTTCCTGGCGATCCACATCGGATTGACGCTTCGACGGCCCGCCCGCTCGACCCGGCCGTCCCTGGGCCCGTCCGCCCGACTTGCCCATTAGGGTCCGCCCGCCCGACCCGCCCGTCTGGTTCTGCTGCTTGTGTTCCTGCTGCTGACCTTCCTCTTGCAAGTCTTGCTCATGCTCCATCCTTCTCCCTCCCCTCTGTCTCTTCCCTCCTGCCTTCCCCTGTGTTAAGGGCAGCGCCAACCAAAAACGTGGCAGGTAAAGCAGATATGCCCCCATTGGGGTATGATCGAAGACGAAGATGGCGGGTGTCGAGGGTGTGGGTTAATCTTGTTCCATGACACGCGAGCCAATACGAGTAGCCGCCGCTCTGCGGTTGATCGGGAGTTTGTGAATATATACACATATATATATATATGTGTATATGTATATATATATATAGATATATTGCGCCCCGGTGTCCCCTTCTCCCCCCCTCCCACCACTCCCCCCCCTGCCCTCCCCCCTTCCGGACCTCCTGGGCTCCCCCGCACCCCCCTGCAGACCCCCCCCCGGAGCCCTCCGGACACCCCCGGGACCCCCCCCCGGATCCCCCCCCCCGGACCCCCCCAGACCCCCCCTCCGGACCCCTCGGAGGGCCTCTTGGGGGGGGTCCGGGGGGCGATTTTTCGAGGATGTCTCAGGCGAGGGCGCCGGTTTAGCAGGCGGTGACGGATGGCGCCGTTTCCGGGACCGGGGGGGGCGGTTGAGAGCCTTTTGGGGGGGGTCCAGGGGGCGATTTTTCGAGGATGTCTCAGGCGAGGGCGCCGGCTTGGCAGGCGGTGACGGATGGCGCCGTTTCCGGGGCCGGGGGGGCGGTTGGCGGGCCCATTTCTTCGCGCGCCGGGGGTCAGGATGACGTGAGTTCACAAGACAAACTCCTTCAAATTATCGAACAGTTCTAAACTGATTGAACTTTCATTCTGTAATGATTTTCAATGTTGATCCCTTATTTGCGCACGTTGTGTTTTTCCCTTGGAAGTGCCCCCCTCGGGGCTCGCACCCTGTTCCTTCTCACGGACAACCTTCATGCTGACCCTGTGTTGTTGCCCCCCATGCTACATCAACAATGATTCCCGCTTGTTGCTCCCTTGCGAACTATTCCAACATCGCGCTCTCGTACGGGATTTCCTTGCAAATTATGCAGGATTGCGTGGGAGTTCCTTGCAAAGACTTGAGACGCCGCGCCCTCGACACTCAGGCATCACGCTCTCGTTCGTTCCTTTCTATGATTTGATTTGGAATTGCGCTTTCGCTCGAGACGTCCTTGCGATTCAGCATCCCGCCTGCTCGACCTGGTCGCCTGTGCCCGTAGTCCCGACCCGCCCGTTCGGGTCTACCCGCCCATTTTGCCCGTTGGTTCTGCCACGTGTTATCTGCTCCTAGCGGCTAGGACCTAGCCCCCCTCTTGCTATTCTCTCTCGTGCTCCATCCTCCTCACTCCCCCTTCCATCAGGGTCCCTTGTTTTAGGGGCTGTGCTTACATGCGCGTGGCTGGCCATCGGGAACTAGAATAACGCTGGAGCGACGGGAGTGCAATGACGAGATTGATGTAGCGAGTACGGGTGAGAATCGTGGGGTATATGGAGGGAGCTATTGTAGTAACAGGAGCTACAGCAGCCCCGGCGGGAACTTTGGAAACCGGGCGGCGCTTCGGGAGCTGCCGCGGAAGTGCTACGAGGATCTGTGTGTGTGGTGCAGGGTTAGGGGGATTCTCGAAACCTTACCCTCTCGACAACGTTTTCTTCAGCCGCGGCGCAGACATCAACAGCGTTGTCGCTGTCAGGCAAGAGGGGCACATTGTACTCAGACGTTGTGTGCATTCTGGTGATCACCTCCCGCCCGGTGCACCTCATGGTGCTGGCACCGTGCCATTTTAGCATAGCGTCAGGTGTCTCGGGCCGGGCGAAAGGGGGGGATTGGGAAAGGGGAGGTTACGAAATTTGCTGCATGCAGCTGGTTTCGGCCTCACCGAGGGGCCCATTCCTCGATACATAGCCGCCTCCGGCGCCCAGAGGCGCCGGGAAAATCAGCTACGTGAGCTGATTCTCAAACCCCCCCTTTGCTATCCCCCCCTTTCGCCCGACCCGAGCATAGCGTCAGGTGTCGTGGCATGGAGTCGCGATTTTCGAGCAGCGGGATTCCTCGAACGCCTGGGGTGTACGTCGGGCCCCAG